TTTCCTTGAAAAAAAATGTCACATTGGGGGAATAGTAGCATTTCCAAGTAGGCTTCCTAGGGAAACTATCAAGACAACAAGCTATGAGATTGAATTTGCTCCAATCTCATAACTATGTTGCTAGACATGGAAACAAGGATATAGTAGATAGGCAAATTACAAAAATTAGAGAGATTAGAGTTGATCAACATGATTCTCCCACATTTAGATAGTTATCTAAAATTCAAACTCATTAACCTTCCTCCCAATAGTTGAGTCCTAGATACCCTTGTCTTTGCTTTTGGCCCCCAAAGGGAGACCCAAATAAATGATGGGGAAGGAAACCACACAACATCCTAAAAATTCTTGCATAATCGTTTCCTCTCACATTATCACCAATAGGAACCAACTCAAATTCCTCTATGTTGATTTTGAGCCAAGATATTACTTGGAAACACAAAGCAAACATCTAACAAAGAGGAAAACCCTTTTATTCGGTTTACGTAAGAGAAAAGAAACAGTTGCAAAGAGGAGACAAGATACAATTTAAGAGTTATCCTCCTTACCCACAAAGAGAATCATTGGAACCTAACATTGTACCACTATCAAACACAAACCCAGCCTCAAACATCATTGTAACCACTTGTTAAGCACAACAACTCATACCAATAAAACATCCAACCCAGAGAAATATTTAGTTATTTTATGTTAGAATCAAAATGTATTTATTCAATGAGATTTGAAAATAATTAGTAGCTAACGATTCTACAAACTATGAAAACTAACTTGTGATTTAAACACTAAAAGATATTCTTAATCAATTTTATACACGTGTTAGCAAAATCCTAATTGGATGAATGTTAAGGAGTAGATATATAAATTCCCACTTGATTATGTAAAAGTTTTTTGTTTTGGGACACTCCTTCATTAGGAACTCAGGAGGCTACATTAACCTCCACTGTTGTAATTTCCTTTATCTTACTAGTAATTCCTTTTATATCCAAAAAAAATAGAGCTGAGTTATAAATTGGCACAGGTGAATTAAACGACAAGGTCATATTTATCAGAGAAGTATTACCTTGCAAAGCTCTGCATATAAGATTTTCAAGAGCTTTACATGAATCCTCGTGAGCAACTTCATTAACCAAAGATTTCCCCATGGCTTCACTACCTTGTAATCCTGTCAATTCAGCAATTTTTGCATTCCAACCATTGATAAAACCAGCTGAATCAACTCCAAAAATCGGTGCCGTTGCTGTCTCGAGCAATCTAACCATTTCACATGCCACTGAACTGAGTTCATTCATATCCTGCATCTTGAGATCATTCTGCTGGTCAGAAGCCTGTGCCTTAGAACTGCTAACTTCTGTATCCTGAAAATAATCTCTCATTATAAGCTGCAAAGAGTGAATAGCATTAATTTCTGACATATCCCACGGCACACTTCTACTCTTGGCCACTTCAAGGAAAGCTTTAAATGATGATCTAGGATGCATTCTTCCATCATCATCTCTATCCTTCGGGTGGTGCTTAGCTCCTCCCCATTTGACTTCATTTGCAGTATGAGACCTAAACCAGAATAGGAAATCTTTTGAAGTAATTCTGGCAGCAGCCATGCCACAAACTGCGTCTCCTAGTGCAGCAGCACCAGGGTAACTGGCATCTGCCAAACTATCAGTGCTCAACCCTGTAGAATCACCATAATTGTCAAGCAGCCATTCTGCAATATCTTTTATCTGTGATTCAGTTGGAGTCACACCTAGTAACCAACATTTCCCACCATAATATAATGCAGCTCCATCACACTTCAGGAGATCTTTAATGCCCGGAGATTGAGTCACAATGCCAAATGGAGCATCACGGAGCAGCATGTCACAAAGTAAGGTTTGAGTCCGAAGAACCTTCTTCTCGACCATCTGTGCAGCCAATTGAAGTTCCATGAATAGCTGCAGGCCAAATGCTTGCATGAGGAATTCACAAGCATAGCGAAGGGGAAAAGGCACATAGCGTGAAGATGTATGATGGCACACTACCAGCCCCCAGAGCTTGGTTGAATTCTTGTCCTTAATGATGACTGCCATTGCCAGTGAGGAAATAGAGCCCATATTTGCCATGTACTGTGTGTGGCAGCTGTGGGGTGCTCTTAATGTTGAATTGACCAAACAAAGAGGCTGCTTAAGTTCTTCACTTTGAATGACCCTAACTGGCTTAGCATCACAGTCACAAATCATTCGAACACGATTCTGTTTGAACAAGAAACGAGCTGCTTGAGGAATATCAGTTGCCGGATAATGTAATCCCAAATATGGTTCCAAATCAGACCTCCTAATTTCAGAGACAACTTTACCATGGTCATCATCTTGGAACTCATATACCATAACCCGGTCATACCCAGTAAGTTTTTGAACATCCTCCACAACCGTGTCGCACAATGCACCAATATCACCTCGAGGGAGTGACTGCAATCTAGTAATGGCGCGGACAGCTAGCTTCTGTGACTGCACTGCTCCAGCAAGTGACAAAGCAGGATCAATTGACCTAGCAGGCTCCAAATCGATCACGATTCCCACATCAATTCTGTGCAGTATAGCATAAAACGGCTTCTCGGTTGTTCTAGAATACACCCAAACTGGGTTCAACAATGAGATCTCCCTAGAAGCAGCAGCCTTTGCTAAGGACCCACTGGAGGAAGGCATAAAAAAGGTTCTGGCATCAATTCCAAGCAAACCTTTCCCATCAAACCCACTGGTAACAGTCAAACCCAGGAATTCAAAGCAATTCTCGCTATACGCAATGATTCTAAAAGTGGGTTCCTGAACAGCCAGCAAGCAACCAAAAGGCTGAACAAAACCACCCCTCTGGATTTTCGAAAGATAAGCACTGATTTGTTCATCAGGGACATTCTGAGGAGGAAAAACAACTGATCTTGAATAGTTGAACAACTTACCAGAAGCAGTAGATTGCTCAAACTCGGCCAAAAGTCCAGCATCAGCATTGTACTGAGCAATGGTTTTGCCTTTGTCCATGGATCTCATGTTACTTGCAGCCGAGGAAGAGAATGTAGTGTTAGGTGGTGGTAAGGCCTGTTGCCCTCTACTGTTAAGATCCATTTTGTTGAAGGATATTGATATTGAAGAAGAAAAATCAGCAGGCTGTTTATCATGGTTGTATTTGTAGCCTAGACTGTTGCTTGGTGGTTCATCAAATTTTCTTGTTCATGTTTCTGCCGTCGCTTTCATCTGCAGTGAGTATGTGGGATTTCCATTTATCCTTATGTTTTCACTGCTAGCCCCACCACAAGTCTCTCTCATTTCTCCTTTCCCTCATCTTTTATTCTCTATTTCCTTTAAGCAAAAAAACGAATTACAACTTTCTTTTGCCCTCATTGTTTACCATCTACTTTTATTTTATTAAGTCACCACTGTGATGCCAAAATTAATTACGACCTTCGATTCACGGACAAGGAATTATACTCTTTCTCATCTATTCTCTCCTGATTCTTCTTTACTAATGAACCACTATAATTAAAAACAAAAAAAAAAATCACTAAATGCAGATTTCACTCACCAGAAGAAATTGAGTTGAAACATCTCGAGTTGAGGAAGACAAAGAAGGCAAACCTGGCGTAATTGAAGAGGAAAACAAGATTTAAGACGACAGAAAAAAACAATTTCTCTCACCTGAACAGAGAAGAAGCTCTTTTTAGAGTGAGGAAAAATCAGAAGAATGAGATTTAGGGTTTTAGTTCAGAGCTTCATTCGACTCCATAAACACTAAAAAGATTT